CGACCCTAGCATCGAGGTGAATAGAAACTGATCGGCCCGTTTTTGCCTTGATCCAGGGCGACCTTCGGGACTAGCGACGGCCTGATTCGGCGAGTGCTTCGGATGCATGCCGCCTGATCTTTCCGTGCCGATACTACCGATGATAGCTAAGCGTATGGTTGACCACGATGTGGCCAGAATTGAAAAGATCATGCTGAAATACACGTTGAGAGCTCTGCAATACGCTGAAGCGAAGCTGATGCTCGTGTTGGAGGAGGTGGATGCGGTGAGGCCGATCGAAATGATCTGGACAATGAGTGGCGGCAAGAATGACATCAAGATGGCTTCCACGAGAAATACGATGCTGCGTTTGAGGGCTGGGCTGCGCTCTGCATGCTTGAGAAAGGTCACAGCTTTGTAGAGGAGTATGCCCGAGGCATAAGCGCAGAATACTATCTGTAAAATGGTCTCCGCCAGTGCTGCCTTGGTTGCGTTGCGCGTGGCACGCAGCTCGGCGATCCACAGAGGGTTGTCATCGGATGTCTCGACCCCCACCTTCTCATCCAGTGTGACGTAGCCGAGGTACCATTGCTGATCGCTGTAGATCATCGTTGCGAGGCGAGCCAAGGCAACAACAATGAGCGGCGCAATCGGCAGAAGTCTTCTCCACGCAACAAAGTAGATTCGCTTTGGATAGAAGGCAGCCACCTTGATGATCAGGGTCAAGTCGATCAGAAAAGGCAGTAGGTGCGACATGATCTCGATGGTCGGCTCTGCCTCGGGCCATGGCGTCGGTTGAGATCTGTTCTGGCCTAGTTGCTCGATGAAATTTGCCGTGTAGAGGTAAGTGTAAGCAAGGTCGATGCAGTTGTAGATGAGCGTGAGGATCAACAAAAAGCACTGAATGCTAAAAGGCGGTCTGCGCCTTTGCGCGGGTGTCGAGAGCAAGACGAACGCTGTAGCGAACAGCCCCATGAATCCAGTCCAGAAGGCCATGAAGACGGCTTGCCTCGCGTTGAACTGCGTCAGTTTGACGGCCGTATCCAAATAGCCCTCTGGCGCCGAAGTGATTGGCATCTTGGAGCTTTACCCGGTGGGAGATCGAGCCTTCAAAGAGGTGGCTTGCCGGTACGGGTGGGATGCAGACGTAAGTCAAGCTTTGCAGGCTCTCAACCACGAATGTAGCGGAGGGCCGTGGATGAGGATGCGAGGGACCATCCCCCTGCTAACCCAACTCTGCGTATCCGGATCGCTGGCTGCCTCTGGAGGAGCGCTCGCATGTGCGGTCGATAGCTCTAGCTACTAATCCTGCTGAGTCGTTCGCTGCGACCGACAGACACGCTGTCCCACCATCGTCCTGTCATCAAATCATGAATCACATTGCCAGTGCCACTTCAAACTTTCCATGTATGAGGGCGTAGCCGGGCCCGTCTGATTGTGGAGAAGAAAGTTAGCCTGGCGCTACTCTGCGAACATGCACCGACGATGCAAAGCAGGCGAGGCGAACGACGGACGAGGCGAGCGTAAGAGCAGTGGTGAGTCTGAATGAGTCACGTCGTTGTGCTTCATGATCAGGTGAGGAACGCAAAGCAAGCAAAAGCCCTCCGTGAGGAGCGACTCACGACCGTGTGTGGCTCGTCGTGTACACCGACGTCAGCTGTATGGCGTGCTGCTTTCTCATGCAAGGAGAATGGCCGACCACGCGGTCACGTCGACACAGTGAGCGGCACAGCAGAAGAGAGTTCTCGATCAAAGACGTTTTCAAAACCGATTGTCAGGGAGTTAGCTCGCTACTCACGTGGGAGTCTCGCACTCGTAGGCGCAGGTCTTTGTTCGAGACTCTTGACTGTGGCTCTGATTGCGAGATGTCTAGGAGCCACGATGCCACAGCGGTGTCCACCGAGGCGAACTGGGCTTGCGGCGCCGCCAGAATCGTGAACATGCCACTTTCCTCGCGATGCTGAGCCGACAGTCACGAGTGCTCGATCACGTGAACAAGTGTCTACGTCGAGTAGCTGAAGGCGAAAGAGGGGATGCGACGTCGTGGTGACGGCTGCTCCAATCGGCGCGCCGGAAGCGCGATAGAGCCGGGCGGGAGAGATCATCTCCCCTGCGCGCAGAACACAGGCGACTCGAGCCATGAAGAAGATGCTGGTCTTCTTCGAAAAGCGGTCACGATTGAGAATCGTGACCAGCAACGAGCTGAGCACCCGAGGGCGGCGCGACGGCGTTGCGGTCCCTCTGTACCTGCCGATGGTGTGAAGGGCCTTCGCAATATGATGAGTCCGCTTGCGATAGCTATGCACAATGGAGTCTCAAATCAATCGCCACGACTCCCGATCCACACCAAGCGAATCCTAAGCATCGGGAAAAGACCAAATCAGGTACAGTGTTATTCTGACCATACCCGTCCGCAATACGCATGCGGATCGATTTCCACATCAAAGGGAGAGGCCGTGAAAGAGGCCACTACTGAGGCGAAGAAGCGGAGGGTACTCGGAGAATGATCAGCGTGACGGCGACCAGGTGGCCCAAAGCCGGTCGCAGCCGCGTGCCTTGCGACCGGTCAGGCGTCTTGGATCGGAACGACGAGGAGGCTCGTATCAATTGGATCGGGGTCAAGTCGCAGCTTCGTAATCTCCTCGGAGACGAAAGCTTGAGTGTAGGGAAAAGCGAGGCTCCAGGGCCCAAAGCGACGACGAGGGCACGTCAATGTCCAATCAGCACCGCATATTGCGCCCTGGTGATGGTTCGGAAGGAGTGAGACGGGCAATGAGAAAAGTGGAGTACCAAGCCGAGTGGGTGAGGGAGTGGGTGCTGCGGTGTGCGAAATTCTTCCCCAACAGACCCGATGCGTCGTGCGCGCATGGTGAGCCGTGGGTGATTTGGAGGAGCGGTGGCTTGGAGTGCTTGCTCGAGTAAGCTGCGTTGTGCCTGAGCCGCCGGGCCTGGCGGCGTCGAGGTTGGTATGCAGAGGGGCGATATCGTAGTCACGCACGCCTCCATTCAACGCTTGAAATCGACCGGCGCCCCTCTGAGGTACCGTCGGGGTTGGCGACTGCATACCGACAGAGACTGGCTACTTCGCATTAGTGATCGACGCATTGGGACAAAACAAGGCTGAGGCGATGGAGTCGTGGTGCGTGGAAGGGGGCAACGGGTGGCTGATGGGCGGAGTTTAGGATCAAGCATGAGGGCTGAGGCCATCTGAATGGTGCCCGCATGCAATCGCGAATGGTGACTCTGACGTGACTCTGACTGTGCGACTCGTGACTCGCGGCTGTAGCGTCACGGTCGTGAATCAAATCTGAATCTGAATGCATGCACCCCGCAAGTTTCTCGCATAGCGAATCACGACGAGCGCGTGCGTGCGTGATCATCGATTGTGCCATGCACACGCAGCGAGCGCCGCATCGGACGCGCCTCGCGCACGGCCAAGCGAACTCCGACGCGCGCACGACCAACGCAACATATCTGCCTCATCACATCCCCTCACTTCCTCTTTGCGGTGACTTGCCATGTTCCCACAACATGCCCGCGGCTAGACTTGGGCCGAGCTGGCCCAGCCTTGCTGATGCGTCTTCCAGCTCGATGATCTGCAGTCGCCTGGCCAGCGCAATTCCGACGTCGATTTACGACATTGCTCACACGTCATCCATCACCTTACTTTGGCCGACTGCGGTGGACGAGTTCGAGGGCCCCTAGCTGCTCATCACTGCTAATTGCTCATTGCTCATGGGCGGAGTTTGAAGGCCGCAAAGAATGTCGGCGTTTTGCTGCGTCGCAAGCAGCAAGATGCAGCAGAGAAAGCCAATCAATCGCAAGTGCCACTGGAGACTCAAGCTGATCGTGCAGTCACCCAGCAGTTGTGGCGCTCTTGGGCACATTCTGGGCCTCAGGCATGTGCCCTGTGGCTTTCAGAAGCCTGGGCTATGGCTGACCTTCTGCACCGGCGGTTGGTGTCCCCGCGTCGCTTCCTTCGCACAGTCTGACAGTGGTCACGAGTACTTTCTTCCCTCGGCTTTTGGGTGCGCCTGCCAGCATTGATGTGAGCGCCGCTTCTTCTAGCGACCCCGCGGCATGTTGCTGCAGAGCATCTCATAGTGATATGAGCCACGCCAATACTATTGGGATAGCCAAGACGTTCTAGCGCCTTCTAGCCTCTGCGCGGCGGCGCCTAGACCGCACTTGACCATGATACATGGCGCTGCTGTCAACCATTTCCCTCCCGACCTCTTCCCAAACTCGGTTGAGCAACGATCTCTTCTGACGATCGCGTCGCCGCGAGCCTTACATCAGCAGCCTCGCGATCGTCTGACAGTCGCCGGAAAGAGCGGGCTGTCGTAATTGCTCACAATGCTCAACGCGTCTCCCAATCCGCTCTCCTCTTCTCCGCAGCTCCGCACAAAAATTTGACAGTTTCACGGTCTCACGACGAGGCGCAATATTCACATTCTCAAGAGACTCGGTCAAATTCGAACGACCCCACAGCACGTGCCTCCTCAGCCATTCCTCACTTGCTCTTGCGGAGCTTGCGCTCACCAACTCGCCGCTTGCGGAACACTGAGCATCGGGCATCGATCATCGCAGTCTCATCTCGCCAGCCCTGTTGCGAGCCTGGAACGCTCCCAGCATGCCCCCTTCTGATGGCAAATCACACGCTATCACCTACCTGTGCGACATGCAGCGGCTGACTTTCAACCGTCAGGTCTTATCCTATGAGCTATCTAGTCGAACGTCGACCAACAACAGATGAACATTCACCGCAGCTAACCTGATCGCTTGCGTCACTCGCATCATTCACAGCCCGCCAGGAATGCGTCGCTCCAATGAGGTAGGGTCTGTGTCTCAAAGAATCTACGATTGTGCCTCTGCTAGGAACGACAGGGCTTCTAGCGCCATGCGACCACCCTTATGTCGTCTGTCGAGCCATGGCCAACATGGTCTTCAGACCGTCAATCCTTCTGGCGTCGTTCAGTGCTGCGAGCCAGATGAGCGCCAGGAATTTTCGAGCTGGCTGGAGCTGGTGTCGGAGTCTGAGCTTTCCGCATTCGAATGTCATATCACTCGACACTGCCTACAGAGGGTCCCGCGTCCATACTAGCTGTAGCGAAGAGCGGTCGATTGGACGCAGAGACAGGATCCTGACATGCACATACACGGTGAGCCAGCTCTGCCACAGGGCATAGCTGGCCGCCTATCGTCAGGCACTCTGCGAACCGCCTTGCACGCCGTGCGAAAGGTATAAGACGGGCCTGTTTAGACCTCTTCTTCCTTCCCATCTCTCCTCATCAAACACTTCTCATCTTCTCTTCAACACCCTTCTTCTCTACACTTCAGCTTCAACCTTTTACAAATTCTTTCAAGGCTCTTCAAAATGGTCAAGATCGCTGTTCAATCTCTCCTCTTCGGAGTCGTCGCCGCCATGTACATGGGTGGTGCCGTTGCCGCTCCTCAACCTCAGTCCAAGGGCGTGCAAGCTTCTGAGTTCTGCACCAAGTTCACTGCTGCTTGCATTGACGTCTGCCCTAGCAAGAAAAACCTCCGCGTGACTTGCACGAAGAAGTCCCCTCGCAACCGTCAATTCAACTTCAAGTGCAAGTGTGACGGCAAGAACCGCACCACTCGTGCTCTCAACCGCATCCCCACTCTCGGTCAGGCCGACCCCTCTTCCTCGTCCTCGTCCTCGTCCTCGACCTCCACTGGAACGTCCACTGGCCTCATCCCCACGGTCACCAGCGGCGTTGTCCTTCCCACCGGCCAGACCTCCCTGATTGGCAGCGTCACCAGCAACGTTCCCAACCCCACCTCTGTGATTGGAGGCGCCACCTCTCAGATCGGCTCCATCGTCGATGGCGCTACCAGCCAGATCGGCTCGATCATCAACGGTGGTGCTTCCACGATCACTTCGGTCGTCGGTGGTGTGACTTCCACCATTGTCAGCATCGGTGCTTCCGCCACCAGCGAGGCTGGCGCCATCGCTAGCTCTGCCACCGTGAGTAGCGGGTCTGAGAATCTCGAAGTCGATCGACGAGCGCCCTGCTAACATTGCATTGACCCGTCTACAGAGCGAGATCGGCGGCATTGTCAGCTCTGCCACCTCGATCCTCGGAAACGATGTTGCGCCCACCGCCACTAGCGCTCTGGGCGGTGCCGCCTCCTCGGGCGTTGGCATCATCGCATCCCTCACCAGCGAGGTCGGCAGCGTCGCCACTGGCGTGACAGGTGGCACTCTTCTCGGCAAGCGCGCTGCTGAGGTTGAGCTCATCGCCGAGGTCCCCAAGAGCCTGTCTCACCGCGATGTCGAGATCGAGAAGCGCCAATCCGTCAAGACTTTCTGCCAGCAATACCGCGACGGATGCGCTCGTCAGTGCGCTCGTGTCAGCTCGGTGCCTCAGAAGCAGACCTGCAAGAGAATCGTCCGCGGCAAGAAGAGCGACAAGTACTCCCTGTACTGCTCTTGCGCCAACGGCAAGCTCGAGACCCAGCACGCCCTGAACGACATTGACGGCAAGGGAGCCAAGGCCACAGTTGTTTCCACCTCCACCGTCGGTGCTACCTCGACTGCCACCAGCGCTTCCAGCAGCAGCACTGGCAGCCTCGTGCTGCCAACCTCTGTGCTGCCCACCATCGTCTAAACGGGCACCATCGATTCGCTTCGACCTTTCGCAAAGCCTGAGGCAACTCAGCACACTCTAACGACGGACCCTCGTTCTCTCTTCCAGTTCCATTCACAGTATCTCACACCTATCACCACATCGACTACCCATCACGCGATCTGACCATCTTCCACTGACTTCTGATTATTCCCACTCATTGTGCTTCGAATTTCATCTTCGTCTTCTCAAACAAAACGTGTGACTATTCAAATGAGTTGTGTGCCGGCTCTCTCTTCCTCAACACTTTACCGCGCCTTTGCCTTTCGCTGATAATTCTGATGCCCACTGGCGGAGGATGACCTGGGAAAAGCGAAGCTGGATCGTGATGAGCAAAAGTTGGGCGACTAGGTTCGCGCGCGGCAGAGGATGCGCCCACCTTCTGCACTTTGCCGGATGCGGTCGTGGGCATGGCGCCGACGCCGCCTTCGTCAACAAACCAGACCCACTCAGGTGCAGCTTGACCTGAAATTCCCGTCTTCACCTGAAGGCGGGAATGGATCGCGCCCGTTTTCAGCCTGACAGAGCAATCTGCAGCCTGAAGTGCCGGGACTCGCGCACTCAAGATTCCACTCACATGCTCTCTGATTTGCAGAGCAGAGGGCCGTCGTGCGTCGCCACGTTCTGCGGAAGTTTGGACGAAGACTCCCACGACCTCGCCGAGTCGTTCGTGCGGCACTGCCACTACAGCGCTGGCAGCGATGCCGCCGAGCTGGTTGATGCAGCTGTGCAGCATACGCGCGCATCATCCTCATCAGCACATCTTGCCGAAAAGGCGACTTACGAGCCTGCCACTCTCTCACTTCTCAATGACTGGCGGAAAGAGCTGGAGAAGTAAAGAGAGGAGAGGAATCATGATTGTTTGCGACATACGAACGCATGTTGTGCATGCAATCGCCGTCTCTCCGCACGCACATTCTCTCCCCCACGAATGATGACATCCTTGACGCGACCGCAGATCTGGACGTAGCCTTCACCGTCCATGACCGCGACATCACCCGTCTTGATCCAGCGAATGCCTTCTTGCTCAACGATAGCTTCTGCAGTCTTCTCTTCATCTTCGAAATATTCCGACATGACCAAGTAGCCGCCAATCCACTGCGCAAGCAAGCACTCGCCGCCAGGCGGGCAGATGTTCAGCTGTGTCCGCTTCGACTCGCTACCCATAGGGAAAACTCACAAGCTCGCCGGCTTGTCCCACTGGGACCGGTGCTCCCGCAACGTCGTCCCCCGCCACAATCTTCGCATGTGCGTAGTCTACGATCTGCCCGACCGTTGTGCAGCGGCGCTCCACAGAGTCATGGATGCCTAAAGGCGATGCGCCATGCAAGCGACAGGGCTTCAGCTTCCCTTCACAGCACGAGATGACGCGCGGAAAAAGCAGATGGACTGGGGCTCACTAGCGCCAAAAGATACGGGAGAAGTCTACAAAAGCTCGCGTATCAGTCCGACTGCCAGCAAAGCGGCATTTCGACCCATTGGGCGCGGCTCACCTCTGTCATTCCATACACCTTGACAGAAGGCCGTAATAGTCAGCTCAGAACTAAGCAGTCCCATTACGTCGAGCCGTCTCACCACTGTCAGTTCTGTTGGACGCAAGGAGCGCAAGCAAGCTTGAATCTCAGCGCCTTGCAGCTTGTCGATACGACGTGCGACACTCACTGCCCGCACCAAGCTCCTCGATGCACGACCGCATCAGCTCGACTGGAATGGTGGAACCGCTCATGAAGCCAGTCCTGAGGCTGCCAAAGGACCACACCTCTCCTTTGCGCACGCCGTCCTTCCGCAGGCCGCTGCATGCCTTTGCCTGCTCACTCTCTGACATCACAGACGCCTGTTTAGCACGTCGTAGCAGCTCCAGCTCCGACACAAAGTGGCTCGGCACGCCGTGGATCGCAGTGGCATTCTCGCGGGCTGCGCTTCGCAGGGCCCGAGCAGGGCTGAAGCCTTCAGAAGCGTACAAAACGCCTGCTCCTCGCGACCACGCTGCGAGATTGCCAAGAGTCAGGCCGCTACAGGGTTCAAGGGATCTACCAAGGTGTCAGTTCGAACAATTGCACGCCGCAAGAGGTCCATCCGATAGGCTCACAAGCAGTGAAACAGCGGGGCTAAAGGGTGCGAGAGGAGAGCGACAATGAAATTCACGCCAACAACGCTCACACTCGACATCGCCCCACAGAGACCCACGTATGTTCGCTAGCAGGTCGTTCGGTGTCAGCTCCATGATGTTGCCCAAGACGGTAGCGTTGTTAATCAGATTGATAGAGTTTAGCACCACTGCTTTGGGAGCCTACGAGAAACAACCACCGTCAGCGTCTCGGCTCAATGTATGTCCGCATCAACAATGTGCAGACTCACACCAGTCGTGCCGGAAGTGAGCTGCAGATTGATTGCGGCGTCGGATGAGCCTTCGATCTCCTGAAGCGCAATCTGCGAGCCTTGGTCCAGCACATCTCGGTAGTCGATGGCCCAGCCGTGGAGCTGATCGAGAGCACCAGCAAAGTCGCCGCCGGCGGCGCAGTAAGCGCTGAGGTTGGGCCAGCCGTCGGGTCTGGCGGTGATGTTGTCGAACAGCACCACATGCTGCAGCGTGGGCACCTGGTCATCACGCAAAATCGGCGCGCCTTTTGCTTCTTCACGCAGAGTGGGCAAGATGGAGCGCAGATGCTTGGTGTAATCAGAGTCGCGCAAGCATGGAATGATGAAGAGCGCTTTAGCCTTGACGTGGTTGAGTGCTTTGCGTAGCTGTAGGGGAGAGTAGGAAGGGTTCAGTGTGACCAAGGGAGCGTGCACGTAGGCGGTCGCGAGCTGAAGCGCTGCCATGGCAGAGCAGTTCCTGTAGTTGCGAGCGGAGACAGAAGCGGCGCCAAGTGCTGGATCATCAGCAGCGTGCCTCGTCTCGACACTCTGACTCCTCCATCAGCGCCAGCAGCCCATTAAGGCGAGGCGCGACACGACACGCACATCATCAGCACTGCGACTCGGTCGCCCCGCTTGATGCCCAACTCGAGCAATCCCGAAGCAAGTCTGCGCACGTGCGTGTCGAGTTCGCCGAATGTCCAGCGAAGACAGTCTTCATTCCCAGGCAGCTTCTTCGACGGTGCGCGATCGTGAGCGTCTGCTGGCTCGTGCGCGCTGATGAGTGCTGGTCGCTCAGCATGCTTATCGACCAGGGCGCGCCACCATTGGGACAGGGTCTGATCCTGTATGAGCGGCGTACTTGTCGATCCGGCTACGCGCGAAAGCAACTGGTCTGTCTGTGAATGTCGCAGAGCTGGTTGAGGAGAGTAGGAGGCCGGGTTGCTGCCGCTCTTGGCTGTCAGCCAGCGACAGACGGTCCATGGCGCTCCGTGACGCCTTGAACTTGCGCGCAATGGGTCAGACTCGTGTTGCTTGATGGTCAGGAGCGCATCGCGGGGCTGCCTAGAACGAAGTGCAGCACAAGCATGCATCCAGCTCCAGCTCTTTGTGCGCAAGGACATGATGTAGTCGACGGCGCAGCGAGCAGGTCGAGAGCGGCACGGATTGTTGCTTCGAGCGGAATGGCAGGAGGCAAGAGGGGCGCAGCCAGCAGCAGCACTCCCAGCTTCATGTGCCTCGTGGAAGACTCAGAGTCATACAAGTACCGACGTGCTGTATCGAGCGCGGCAGCAGCGTGAATGATGGACTGGCACATGATCACCAGCATCGCCAACAAATCGTCGCATCCACACCTGATTTGCTGACTGCTGGGGCACAGTTGGGTGACCGCACGTGCATTGCGACACAGTGTGAGTGGCTATGCCCAGCCAAGCTTTTGATTCAGAGACAAAGTGGAGTGACTTGCGCTGTGAAGTGCTGGCTACCGCACCACAGCATACATGCTGCCGTGCACCCATTAGCCATCCTTAACGATTGTGATTATAGCTTCCATCTGACCCGCCGCGGCATCCACCTTACCCCGCACTTGTTAGCGCGCGCACGCGTACTGTATACCGCATATACTTGACTCACTGATGTGTACCGCCAAGTATCCGCGGACGCCACGGATCAACGCCTTTCACAGAATCACGTGACTTGAAAACAGACGCGTGCGAGCACGCGCGTGTTTCAAGCGAATGATGCAGGCGGTCCGCGTGGGCGTACGCGGGCGCGAGCAGCAGTTGGTTTCAGATCGTGGATGCATGCGTCATGTTGGGTTGCTTTCCAATAAGGGCGGCAAGCAGCAGCAGCAAATCACGAATTGCGCTACTCTGACTCTGACTCTGACTCTGACTGTGACTGTAGACTCGCGCTGTACGGGGCAATATTGAGGA